ATCCATGGTAAGATAAGGTAAGTTGATTTCAGTCTAAAACACAGTAAGAAAAATATGCTTATTTAAAATGTTACAAAGATATAAAAATAGAAATTTGAAATAAGTTTTTAAACTTATAGCTATCTTTTTAAAGCTATTTTGAATAATTTCAAATTCACATAAGGAACATATCCAATTATTTTGACCGCGCGGCGAAACGGAACGACCCCACTGCACCAATTATTGCAATTCAACCAATAGAAAAACCAACAATAGTGAGGAAAAAAGAAAAAGAAAAATCTTATTACTTACCTGTAGAGAGGAACTGAGTTCAATCTTTGCCTTTTCAGCAGCCTCCCTTAGTCGCTGAAGTGCCATTATATCCTTAGAAACATCTACGCCTTGCTGCAGATTAAAAATGCATAATTGAACGGTTTGCTCAAGGAGGAAGAGAATATTAATTACATATGAAAAATAAACAAACACAACCAACAGCAACACATGTTACTATTACAACTCTGAAAAATCATCATTCTCTCTAAACAGTAGGACTTCCTTGCCACTTATTAGGTTGTTTAGAAAATAAAATCACATTTTGGAGATTATATTTTATCTCATTTAAATACAATAAAAGCCGACTTTGAAAAGAACATTAATTATTAAGCAGACTTCACAACTTTGAAATTGTAGCCTACATTAAAATTCTTAATCTTTGTAAGCAGTTGGGGAATATGATAGGCTCTGTATTATTTTTACAATAGAGCGAGTACAGAGTAAATATTTACATACAACATTCAGCAAGAGGAAGATTTTTTCTTCAGAATAACAATTAAAGCTCACTCAGTAAAATATAATAAAAATCAATTTTTAGCCCAAGAATAATATATATATATATATATATATATATATATATATATATATATATATATATTTATTTTCAGGGAGGGTTTTGCCATTGCTAATAATAAATTAAATACACTGACACAGAAGGTAACGAATAACTTGTCAAGGAAACATTTACACAAAAGTAGAGGAGCATTATACTCACTTCTTTCAGAAACTCACTAGCTAGGAATTTTACAACTACATTGTCAAAATCTTCACCACCTAAAAACGTATCTCCATTAGTGGACTTCACTTCAAATACTCCCTTTTGGATTTCCAAAATGGAGATATCGAAAGTACCACCACCCAAATCATACACAGCAATTCTGCAAAGAGAGAGAGAGAGATAAATGTCAATAGTAGCATGCTTGAGAAAGAAAAAGGAAGAGAAAGAAAAAGGAAGAGAAAGAAAAAGGAAGAGAAAGAAAAAGGAAGAGAAAGAAAAGAAGAGAAAGAAAAGGAAAGAAAAGAAAAAGGAAGAGAAAAAAGGAAGAGAAAAGGAAGAGAAAAGAAAAGGAAGAGAAAGAAAAGGAAAGAAAGAAAAAGGAAGAGAAAGAAAAAGGAAGAAAGAAAAAGGAAGAGAAAGAAAAAAGGAAAGAAAAGGAAGAGAAAGAAAAAGGAAGAAAAAAAAGGAAGAGAAAGAAAAGGAAGAGAAAGAAAAGGAAGAGAAAAAAAAGGAAAGAAAGAAAAGGAAGAGAAAGAAAAGGAAAGAGAAAGAAAGGGAAGAGACAGAAAGGGAAGAGAAAGAAAAAGGAAGAAAAGAAAAAGGGAAGAGAAAGAAAAGGAAGAGAAAGAAAAGGAAAGAAAGAAAAGGAAGAGAAAGAAAAGGAAGAGAAAGAAAAGGAAGAAAGAAAAGAAAGAGGAAAGAAAAGGAAAAAGAAAAAGAAAGGAAGAGAAAGGGGCGAAGAGAAAGAAAAGGAAAGAAAGAAAAGGAAAGAGAAAAAAAAAGGAAGAGAAAGAAAAGGAAGAGAAAGAAAAGGAAGAAAAAAAGGAAGAGAAAGAAAGAAAAGAAAGAAAGAAAAAGGAAAGAAAGAAAAGGAAGAGAAAGAAAAAGAAGAGAAAGAAAAAAGGAAGAGAAAGAAAAGAGAAAAAGAGGAAAGAAAAAGGAAGAGAGAGAAAAGGAAGAGGAAAGAAAAGGAAGAGAAAGAAAAAGGAAGAGAAAAGAAAAGGAAGAGAAAGAAAAGGAAGAGAAAAGAAAAGGAAGAGAAAGAAAAAGGAAGAGAAAGAAAAAGGAAGAGAAAGAAAAAGGAAGAGAAAGAAAAGGAAGAGAAAGAAAAAGGAAGAGAAAAGAAAAGGAAGAGAAAGAAAAGGCAAAGAGAAAGAAAAAGGAAGAGAAAAGAAGAGAAAGAAAAAGGAAGAGAAAGAAAAAGGAAGAGAAAGAAAAGGAAGAGAAAGAAAAGGAAGAGAAAGAAAAGGAAGAGAAAAAAAGGAAGAGAAAGAAAAGGAAGAGAAAGAAAAAGGAAGAGAAAGAAAAGGAAGAGAAAGAAAAGAAGAGAAAGAAAAGGAAGAGAAAGAAAAGGAAGAGAAAAGAAAAAGGAAGAGAAAGAAAAAAGGAAGAGAAAAGAAAAGGAAGAGAAAGAAAAGGAAGAGAAAGAAAAAGGAAGAGAAAGAAAAGGAAGAGAAAAGAAAAAAAGGAAGAGAAAGAAAAGGAAGAGAAAGAAAAAGGAAGAAAAGAAAGAAGAGAAAGAAAAAAGGAAGAGAAAGAAAAGAAAGAAGAGAAAGAAAAGAAAGAGAAAGAAAAGAAAGAAGAGAAAGAAAAGAAAGAAGAGAAAGAAAAGAAAGAGAAAGAAAAGAAAGAAGAGAAAGAAAAGAAAGAAGAGAAAGAAAAGAAAGAGAAAAGAAAAGGAAGAGAAAGAAAAGAGAAAGAGAAAGAAAAGGAAGAAAGAAAGAAAAAAGGAAAAGGAAGAGAAAGAAAAGGAAGAGAAAGAAAAAGAAGAGAAAGAAAAAGGAGAGAAAGAAAAAAATAAAAGAAAAGAGAAAAAAGGAAGAGAAAGAAAAGGAAGAGAAAGAAAAAGGAAGAGAAAAAAAGGAAGAGAAAGAAAAAAGGAAGAAAGAAAGAGAAAGAGAAAGAAAGAGAAAAAAAGGAAGAGAAAGAAAAAGGAAGAGAAAGAAAAAGGAAGAGAAAGAAAAAGGAAGAGAAAGAAAAAGGAAGAGAAAGAAAAAGGAAGAGAAAGAAAAAGGAAGAGAAAGAAAAAGGAAGAGAAAGAAAAAGGAAGAGAAAGAAAAAGGAAGAGAAAGAAAAAGGAAGAGAAAGAAAAAGGAAGAGAAAGAAAAAGGAAGAGAAAGAAAAGAAGAGAAAGAAAAGGAAGAGAAAGAAAAGGAAGAGAAAGAAAAGGAAGTTTAAAAAAGGAAGAGAAAGAAAAGGAAGAGAAAGAAAAGGAAGAGAAAGAAAGGGAAAAAAAAAAAAAGAAGAGAAAGAAAAAAAGAGAAAAGAAAAGGAAGAGAAAGAAAAGGAAGAGCAGAAAGAAAAGAAAGAGAAAAAGAAAAGGAAGAGAAAGAAAAAGGAAGAGAAAGAAAAAAAGGAAAAAGAAAAGGAAAGAAAGAAAAGGAAGAGAAAAGAAAAGGAAGAGAAAGAAAAGGAAGAGAAAGAAAAGGAAGAGAAAGAAAAGGAAGAGAAAGAAAAAGGAAGAGAAAGAAAAGGAAGAGAAAAGAAAAGGAAGAGAAAAAAAAGGAAGAGAAAAAAAGGAAGAGAAAAGAAAAGGAAGAGAAAGAAAAGGAAGAGAAAGAAAAGGAAGAGAAAAGAAAAGGAAAGAAAAAAGGAAGAGAAAGAAAAGGAAGAGAAAAAAAAAGAAAGAAAAAAAAGGAAAGAAAAAAGGAAAGAAAAAAGGAAGAAAAAAAAGGAAGAGAAAGAAAAAGGAAGAGAAAGAAAAGGAAAAAGAAAAAGGAAGAGAAAGAAAAAGGAAGAGAAAAGAAAAGGAAGAGAAAGAAAAAGGAAGAGAAAGAAAAGGAAGAAAAAAGAAAAAGGAAGAGAAAGAAAAGGAAGAGAAAGAAAAGGAAGAGAAGAAAAAGGAAGAGAAAGAAAAAGGAAGAAAAGAAAAAGGAAGAGAAAGAAAAAAGGAAGAGAAAGAAAAGGAAAAAAGAAAAAAGAAAGAAAAGGAAGAGAAAGAAAAGGAAGAGAAAGAAAATGAAGAGAAAGAAAAGGAAGAGAAAGATTTTTCAGTTTTTTTTCAATGGGAGAAAAAAATTAAGTGGTTTATATAAAACAGAAACGATTTTAGAAAATATTCAAAAGAAAAAAAGAAAACTTTAGAAGGAATGTGAAAAAGCTGCAGTGATTCCCTCATAAAAATACAACTTTTTTTTTTTTTTTTTTTTTTTTTTTTAAATATATTTTTTGATTTGCTTTTTACAGCTTAAGCCTTTGTGGATTATTTAACAGCAAAACATTTTGGATACTGAGATTTAATTTTTGCAACTGAATAATGCATTAATTTTTTTTTTTTTTTAAAGTAATTTTCCCTCAGACACAAACCCTACTATTCAACCCATAGCCAGGAGGCAGGAGATAGATTCATATCTTTCTCAAGAGTATTTACAGCTAAACAGATGTAAAAAACTCGGTACCCAAATTTCTCTTTCTGAGCTGCTATGCAACATACCACCACCACATCCAGATTGAAGATATACTTGTGATTAAAAAAATTCATAACATTAGAATTCAAAACACAAATTCTCAAACTTAGTAAGAAATCTGAACATTACCACACAAAAAAAAATATTAGCTACTCATTCTTATGTCAGAATTCACAGCTTATAAAGAAACCAGTTCTTTGATATTTTGGAAACAAGTAGTAAATCATCTAATAAACAGACAAAAAATATTGATTTCATTCCCTTGTTACATCTCATCGCTCCCCTAACAAAATCATTTGGTAATTTTAATAATAGTCTGGATATACTCCTACTGTAACAGCTCATTAACAAAAATGTATCTAGCTAAAACTTAAGGGCTGGCTGTTTACTTGGCTCCCCTGGAAAATTATATTGCTGAATCACAGGAAGGATGGAATATGTTCCCACAATTCCTCCAGCCTGTTTGATCAGCTTACATCCTCTTCCCCTTTGGATTTTTAACTCTTCAACAATTAACTCTTGGAGAGAAAAAAAAAAAAAAAAAAAAAAAAAAGTGTATGCACTTACACTTTGTCTTCACTTTTGTCCATGCCATAAGCAAGAGCTGCTGCTGTTGGTTCATTAATGACACGCAGAACATTCAAGCCTGCTATCTGACCAGCATCTTTTGTAGCCTGAAGATTTTTTGAAAAGAAAAGATTTAAAAAAAAAAAAAAAACAAACAAATAAAAATGTCACTTGCTAAATGAAGAGCAAACAACATTTGATAAATGAAAATCACCAAAATGGTCAGTATCCAAGTTAGAGAATTTACTGTTAATAAAATGAGAATTCCTACTTAACAGCACTGAAAATGTTTATTATCTGATATAAATAACCATATTTCTGTAGCCATTATGTAGAAAGAGAAAAATTCTTTCGAATTTGATATCTACCAAGAGAATGTAAAATTTCCTTCCTTTCCTGCAGTTGAAAGGAATATACTAAAATGAAATTAAATTGGGTGAAAAACAAGTACAGCACTTCTGTCCTCAATCCATACTGTTATATTTATTTACAATGCCTGTTTGTACAACTTTCACTATTAACCAAGATGAAGCCTTATGTACAGTTGGAGCCAAATGTTTGAACATTTAAAAAAAAAAAAAAAAAAAAAAAAAAAAAAACAAACAAAAATAAAAAGGTACTACTCACTCAATGCAGCTAATTTACTAAAAGCAGTTAATTTTCTATTTTCATTATAAACTGGTATTTTTATGACAAACATTCACCTTCAAAAGCATTTCAATATAACGAGGAATGCTCGCTATGCGATATACAATATTCTGAAATCCCAGTAGTCCACATGTCAGTAATACCATCTACAAAAACCATGACATTGGCTGACTGCTTCTGAGACCAAGATAAGGGTTGTTGCCAAACCGTTCCAATATAGTGATATAATGTTAAGATATTCTTTTTTTTTTTTTAAACTTCTTGGCATTGGGTGAAATTGTCCATGAATTTGCTTGCATGTGAATCTTTTGTTCAACAGTTCCAGATAATTTTGACTATTCATGGTTGACCCAGGAAATATAAACCATCTAATGCAAATTCATCTGGCTGGGAGGCTGTTTCATAGCTTGTATTTTTTTTTTTTTCCATCTCTTTCTTGGATGTATTTTGACACAATATCGAGACACAAAAAAAGCCATTGCAGTGAGTATTCATAAGGTAATTGTTGTATACTGCCATTTTACAACACGTGATCAGTAGTCAATTTCCTGTCATCTGACTCTTTACACATTATTTATCCTATAACCAACACATGCAAATGGGATGCTATCTATTTGCCAATCCCACTATAACTCACTGAACTGAAGAGGTTTAATACCTTTAATTATTCTTGAACTTTTCTTAAATTCTTTCCTACTCTCCCATTTTAAGGTTTATATTTTTTTTTGTTTGTTGTAAAATGTAGATTGTGGCCTTATTTCATTTTCTTTTATGCCCGAGTTACATCTGTTATCATCAATAGGCTTGTTTTCTATTACATTTTCCCGATTTGAAGAATTCATAATTTTTTCCTTGTCAAGATCTTCCTCCATCACTAGTGATGTTTTGTCCAATGTTCAGACTTTTTAAACAAATGCCCGGCACTTTTTTCATTTTTACAGTCATTGGGGGCAGATCTTGCAGGATCTTCATTGGAATCCATTGACCAATCTGCAAGAAACAGCATAGTGCTATTTTTCTTTTTTGCCTGAATTCGTCAGAGACGATGAAATGATGGATTTCAGGATATGATCATCAATAGGAATGCTTTTCTAGGACATCCATTTTTCTTTCAGTCAGAATAAGAGCCATCGGCTTGGTACTTGGTGAAAGCATTGTGAACTGCAATTTTGTTACAACCCATTAGGACTGAGATTTCACACTGTCTACTGCAGTCCATGTAATGTTATTCAAACTTTTTGAAATTAAAAAAAAAAAAAAAGTCTTAGCCAATGCTAAGTGCTTCTTTTCCATTTCCACAGCCAATCTTTGTTGGAGCTTAGGTACCTTTGCAGGATATTATCTGGAATTCATTAACCAATTTGTACAAAACAGTCTTCACAACTCACATCTGTATCCCTGAGAAGTGGAGCAGCTTTTTTTTGCATAAGCTTGTCAGAGATTGTCAAACACTGAATTTTAATATGTTCACCCCAAAAGGTGATTTTTTTTGTGGCTGATGTAATATTGCAATCTGTTTACATTAATAGTGGATGATGCAATCACAGAGAAAAATTAATATTTATCAGGTGTCCTTAAATTTTTGACCAAGAGTATATAAAAACTATGTTGGCAAGAGTCAGTGTGAAAATGAGGACAAATTTTCAAAGCAGCTGCCATCACCAAAAAAGAAGAAAAAGTTTTCTGTAGCCTTAACAAACCTGAAAATGTTTAACAGATTATATACAAAGTCTACTTCAGACTTAAACAGTTTGGCTTGCTTAATGCTTCCCACATGAAGATTTATTTCAGAGTATATAATTTTTGTAATCTAATATCAAAATTTACATATTAAAAGCCTGGAACAAGATAAAGTCATATTTTAAAAAGCCCACTGTTATGTCTATAGGGTAAGAAAATCAAACAGTAAACAAGTCATTCCTAGAATTAAGATATTAAAACTTCTACCATCCCTTGCCTTTATGTTACATGCATATAGAATATAAGCTATGCAACAATTATTCAAGGTTATTACATTCAAGTGTGCAATTTAACAGTGAACAATAAAACAACTCACCTGTCTTTGTGAATCATTAAAATAAGCTGGAACAGTGATAACAGCATTTTTCACTGTTGTTCCTAGGTAACTCTCTAGAAAAAATAAATTTGATTGCTATATGACAACTTCAGGATTTGCACTCAATCTAAGTGAAAAAAAAGTACAATAATTTAAACACTAGAATGAGGGGAGGACAATATGAATTAGTTTACAGCAATAGCAGTGAAAAAATAGCACTAGAATCACATGGTCAAACCTCATTATGGATACATGTGGTTTACAGCATAAAATTTTATAATTTATTTCATTTATGCAGGTGTAGGGGAGGTATTGTCATGGTTTTAATTTTCAATCTCACATTGAGAGTGGTTCTGTAAATTGGGGAATAAAATAAAATACAGTATCAAATGAAATAAAGTAGATAAATAATAGCAAATTACCAGCAGTCTCTCTCATTTTCATTAAAATAAATGCACCAATCTGACTGGGGGAATACATCTTTCCATTGCTTTCAACCCAAGCATCTCCATTGGAAGCTTTCACAATTTTGAAAGGTACTGTTGTCCTAAAAATTAGAAAAAGATTATCACTAGAGAATTCAAATAAATGTATGATACTAAAAAAAAAAAAAGACAAAACAGTTGAGAGTGAGAACTTAAGTTTAAAATTTGTTTTATTCAAGAAAATGATTATATAGGACAAGTCTCAAAGAAAAATAACTTAACACCGTAAAATATAATCAAGACAAATCTTTAAATTGAAGTTTGTCTAAACCTAAGAGAAAAATCTCTTATGGCATTCTAAAGTATTAGAAATAATTTAGTAACAACTTTACAAGCTAAGGGATAAATTTCAGGAAGAGAAAAATAAGTTGTGGAGACAGTATCTTTAAAAGTCAACTAATTATCCTGAAAAAACTATTGTCATTAGTCTTCGCTGTTGATAGAACCTGATCTCTTAAAACAATGAATTTGATGATGTACAAGATATTTGATCCACACTAACATTGGGCAGCCAAAATACCATGGATGCCTAGAGCAACTCCATAATTCAGTAATAATGTGTGTAAATTGGGAGGGTCTTATATGCCATGAAATAGAACAGCCACTATTTTCTCTTTAATGTTGCCAATACATATTTTTTTAAATTCAGTTTTTTTTTTTTTTTAAATAACCACTTCATGGCAATCAAAACTCTTCATAAAACCTGATTCATTAGATCAAAACTGTTCTGTCAATATAAAAAAAAAAAAAAAAAAAACTGCTTTCCAGCAATAGAACAGACACAAAAAAAAAAAAAAAAAAAATCAAAACACAGCTTAAATAGGTAAAATGTCTTAAATCGTGAGTGTTAAATTAAATTTACGGGTTCTCCTCTTCAGCTAAGTTTGATTAATTTGACAAAAGGGCTGCAAAGGAGTTTTTCAATTGATAAAGCAAGAGAGACTTGAGAGAGAGAGAGAGAGAGAGGAAAAAAAAAAAAAAAAGATGCAAATAATACTGGAGACATCTCCTGTAGTACCATAAAAATTTGGGCTTTGGCTTAGTAACATTGACTTATGGTAGAATGGCATCTGCAGAATCCTTTTGACACAATAGATATTTCTCTCTCTCGATTAACGAAATTCATTTCCCACCATTCTGATTACATGATAGAGAGTTCAAGTGGGTTATATTTGAATGTATCTGTAATACTGTAAATTGTATAATTGCTATGTAGACCTCACAGCTGCATATGACCACATCAATAAAAGAATTCATTAGAAATCACCATCCAAGTTACAAATGTTGAGATAGAACAAGTCCATAAAGTTGTACATGCATGCCGAAGATCCCAACACAAACATTTCAAACTTCATCAGAAATACAAGGAAGAAATGAGAACTCCAACCCATTTAATATCCTCTTAAACTATGCTCTACCTACACTCACACTAATATATATATAAATAAATAAAGCACAGATAGGAAGTGATGGGCACTGATCACTTAAAAATTTTATACCACATCATAAAAAAAGGATCTAATAGAAAACAACATTGATGTTTTCCTTGCAGAGGCCAATGTACAGAGGGTGAAAAGCACTATACTGATGACATTTATTCATAGTTGAGATAAAAATGACTTTGAATAGAAAAAAAAAAAAAAAAAAAAAAAAAAAAAACAGCATCCAAGTGTTTCAAGAAATAAGGTTCAAGATAAAACCTTTCCGAAATGGAATGAAAGCAGTGATGGTACATACCCTGAATCCATCATAAAAATTCAAGATGTGGAATTAGTAAATACTAATTTCAAATACCTAAATGGATCAGTTAGAAGAAATTTAGTATGAGAGAAGATTGAATAGAATAGGCTACACTAGAAGTAGTTTCACACAACATCACAAACAAAATCAAAAAATTAACCTGAAAACTAGAGCCATGTTCTTAAATAGCTTCACCAGATCAAGATTTTCACAGGGATACCATGCACTGCACCAAACTCCTTGAGAAATATCTAGACTGTCAGTTGTACACAACTGCTTTCCCCCGATCAATGGTTAGAAAATAGCTCCGAGTGAGTGAAGTATATAGGGTTCAGCAAGAACAGCCCTTCTTTAAATTTTATGAACTAACACTATAGAATCAAAGTGTACCAAATAATAGAAACCACATCACTGCTCGTTTGATGAATGCCAAATGTTCCCTTATAAAGAAACAATATAACCACGTAACATTTTTATTTCTTTCTTCTCCAATCTCTCACTATCCTACACACACACAAAGTAAAGAACCAACTGTCAGACCCTAAGTTTTTTTGGTAATTTAAACAATTAAAACCAGGGCTGTGGAACCAGGACACAAAACCTTCAACTCTTGACTTTTCTTATGTAATTAAGTAATTATAGCCTACGAATCTAATAAAGCCTATGCATATGCTCCTAATTTTAGTAGGCCTATATCAAAAAATAAAGATATTGTGGCTTTTATATTGCACCTATTCATTCTTCAATAACAGAATTAGACACAAAATCTTTGAAAGGATATAGAATATCTTTGAAAGGATATAGAATAACGAAAATAAAAATGCTATAATGTAAGCTTTGCAAATAAGAAATAAGTACAGAACAAAAGTGAAACTACTAACATAAGTTAAAATATAATCTTTTACAGGATGTGAAAGACATAAAAATAAAAATTCTATAAGATTTTTTTTTTTTTTTTTACATATATAGTTTTGCAGATACAAAATAACTACAAAAAATAAAATGCCTTTAAAAAAGTGGAGATGAATTTATTTAAAAGGAAATAGTAAATATACAGTAGAATAACAATAAAAATTCTATAATGTAAGACTATTTACATAAAGTATAAAGTCAACTGGAGTTAGAATTGGTATAGTTTTACTACAACTCCAGTGACCTCTAAAAAAAAAAAAAAAAAAAAAAAAAAATCTCATTAGTTACTGCTATTTTTAAAAATATTTTTTGAAAATGCAATAGTCAATGTAAACTCATGATCCAAGGATCATGGGTTTGCGCTATGACTATTGCATTATTACCATTGTAGAACCTGAATTTATCTTTTATTTCACTAAAAATAAAAACTTTCAGTATGAAACAAAGTCCAGACTTCACATGAGAAAACAGCAAATTATATATACAGACTTGTCTACCAATCATGCTGCTATTGATCCTGCACTGAATAATCACAAGTGTCTTTATATTATGGAAGAGTACAGATAAATAATAAAAATGATTAATCAACATATTAAATAAAATTATCAACATAAAAAAAAAACACCTTAGTATCTGAGCTAAGTAGAGCATGTCAGTAAAATCCCAAGTTCAGATGAGGATTAGGTGGCTTGATACTCAGGTCAGCATAATGTAGCCTGATTATCCCTAGTGTGAAGAATTGCTGTGCACAGGAGTAACAGATTCAGCTTCATTCTGAATCAGTTGAAAATGGAATCATTGGTAAGTGTTGTGTCAGACAAATTTATTATTGTTCCTGTTAGATGACGGTGAATTCATGAAATAAAGATTTTAAACATAAGAAATATTTCCAATAAGAAATATCCATGTACAGTGCCTACAACATAGATATTTGTATGAAAGTTATTTGCAGTTTCTGAAATGTAATAAAAATAGGAAAATGGTCATGTGAAAAGAAAATTCAAATTAGAATTCATGGATTTTTACTGCATCTATAAAGTACAATTTTTAAGACCACTTTTTATACAAGGCAGTGCTGAAAAGTTTCCAGCTCAACATAGGACACCAAAAAGTTTGGTCCAGTAGGTTAAGCCAAGAAATTTTCAGTACCTTCTTTATTTTAAAAAATTTTTTTTTTTTTTAAATTATTTCATCTCAAGCAAAGCAATAAAGCCACTAAAGCAAGGGATTACCGCTGACATTTCATCTAAATTTTTGAAGATCAAAGTTGGCTGGAAAGCATGGAACCAAAAGGGGTTCTACAATTGTGAAGTATGAGAAAATAAACTGTTAGCACACAACTTATAGTTATATCTAGACAATTTTTTTTTTCCCCCTTAATGAAGATAAATAAATAAATTTCTTACATTGAAAATTTAAAACCTGCCAAAAATTTGTTTGGCAGCATTTTCATTTTACTAAGTTATCCTTAAGACTCATAAAAAAAATATTTACATTAAATCATGAAACAGGTTGTGTGTGTGTGTGTGTGTGATAATAGGCTACTTGTTTCTGACTATGTCCATTTACTATGGTGTTTAGTTCATCTGGTGTAGATATTCTCTGTTGCTCAGGGACATTCTTGTTCAATATGCACAGGGAGCCAATCTGTAATTTATACTGCAACAGACTACCATTTCTTGGAGAGAGCACATTATCTGGTGTGCTCAAAAGTTGAACATGGTCAGTTATTCAAACTGTGTGTGTGAATAAAATATTTAAATAGTTGAAAATTCTCAAACTCTTTTCCGTAAATAACAGTAAATAACATTTAATAATAAAAAGTAGTAAATAACATTTAATAATAATAAAAAAAAAAAAAAAAACCTTTCATGATGAAAAGGCATCCACAAAAGTTTTATCATTAATTAAAACAATACAAAGAAAGAAACTCATAACTTACATATCTTTCTGTACATCTTTATCATCAAATCGCCGGCCAATAAGACGTTTGGTAGCACTGAAAGTGTTCTGTGCATTTGTCACTGCTTGTCGCTTAGCAGGCATGCCACATAGACGTTCTCCATCCTTGGTGAAAGCAACTACAGAGGGGGTCGTTCGGGATCCTTCAGCATTCTCCAACACTTTGGGGGTTTTACCCTCCATGATGGTAACACACGAATTTGTGGTACCCAAATCAATGCCAATAACATGTCCTCGGACTTTATCAGAGCTGTAGAAAAAGAAAAAAAATAATCTTCAGAACTTAAATACAAAAAATGCATGTTATAGTAAATATATATAACATGTAATGGTTAAATTATATTTGGATCTACACTTTAGACAAATGTCAAATCTGCTATGTCAACTATTTTCTATTTTTACGAAGACTTCTAAAAGGGGAAAATACTTAGATTGACTGGTCCGCTAATAAGAAAATAAGGAAGAATTAATTTTTTTTTGTTTTGTTCTTAAAAAAAGATTTCTATAGATGAGCATTCATTATACTTTCCTCTGCCCATGAAATTTATCAGAACTGAAAAATATTGATTTTTATCATTTCATAATACAGAGCAGTGTTTCTCAACCTTTTAAGCAATGACACACCCAAAAGCAAAGTGATTTTTCAAGTGTAGCTTAGATGTGGCATAAGGCTGAATGTATGGGGCACCCAGTGAGGATTGAACTCACTACACAGTTGTAATTGTTCTAGCAAGACAAGCTTGCTAACCATTACACCACCTCGAGGTGCCCACAAAAGCAAATGAATATCACAACACACTTAGCAAAAATTTTTAAAGTCTATACATTTAAATGTTATAAAATAAAACCATACACACACAAATATGGACTTACTTTATTTCAATGTTTCTATTTAATTATTTATGCAGCTTATTTAGTGTGGAACCTGTGGCTGGTGTTTTTTCTTCAATGTTCAGTCAAATGTGCGATAAACAGATCCTTATTTCTTCTTTAGTTGTGTGTAGTCTTTCTTGCTTCTTATTTTTGATGTTATTTAGGGTTGAGTAGTCTAATTCACATCAATATTAACGCTGTACTGTTACTACTTTCACACATGTATGCTGTGGCGTAGTGGTTGAGAATCATTGATAGAGAGTGCCAAATCGATCCCCCGTTTCATAGTATGTAGGGGAATAAATTTTCCAATCATGGAATTGCAAAATTGTTAATCTTAAACGGAATCTGGGTCTTTAATGTTATTTTCAATAATAAATTTTTTTTTTTAATTTTAATTCTTTCAAAACTTAATAACTCTCTGATTTTGTTAAACATTTTAATAAATATAACAGTTATTTTCCTTATAAAAGTCAAAAAATAATTAAGAACAAAAATGTTTACATAATAAAAAGAAAAGTGGGCTGTTGATTTTCTGAGAATATGTTGTCTAGTTTATTTTTAAGTCTTTTATAACTTTTCTAAGCAACTGTATGTTGCAAACGAGATGAAAGTCAGGTCGTAATGTGAAATACCAAGATGATTTACCAAATCCTTTCAATATCCCATCATTTTGGAATGCAAATAAGAGCAGATTTCCTCTTCTGGAACAGATTCCCAATAAGGACTGTTATTAGCATTGATGCAGAATGTCAATTTTCTCTGTATAAACATTTACTCAATAAACAACGTGAAAGTCATACCCATGAGAGCACGAAGTAACTCATGATAGAGATTTAGAAGATTAGATATTTCCCAAATTAAGAAATTAGCAATTTTAAATTTGAGCAGTATTTCAACTTGGGGATATTTAAATTTTGAATTAATATGTCTAATTTGTTTTTTGATATTTTATTACAAAGATTCAATTATGGTTTAATCATGGTTTGTAAAATTTTAGTCAAAATTTCAAACTTCATTCAGATATTTATTGAGATTCAAGTTATTTGTTGATACTTTAAATGTGATTTCTGTATTATGAATCAATAATTATACATCAACCTAAATCCTTTTACTTGAAAAACAAAATCTGAATGTGTTCTTAAAGAAGGAATCTGATTAAAAGTTCTATCTCAAAATAATTATGTACTGTAACATTCCATTGTTTGATTGTCTAGTCATATTACTTTTTTTTTTTTTACATAAAATTAATTTTTGGACTTGGATTTTAACATTAAAAAAAAAAAAAAATGTAGATATTTACTATTTCTTAATAGGCAATAAAACCTTGAATTATGTTTTTGTTTTAATAATGATTATAGCATATAGTATTGCAATTTTCTCATAGAATACTATAAAAAACAAAAAAAAACGGAATTTACCAAAAGTGGAAATGGAAAGTCTGGGGGCTCTAAGTATAAGTGATAACAAGATTACTGATGTTGTCCTTTTCCAAATCATAATAGTAGATAGTTATCAATGATGTAAGCATACTTTTCAAACTTGATATTTGTAAATAAAAATTACAGATAACTATGAATCTAGAGATCAATATGATGTTATAAACATGACTCCCACTTCTAAAATAAGGAGATATACAATATTTTCAATTCTGATAGGTGTTGCACCTTAAGGAAAAATGTAATGAATACCAATCAACAAAAATTATTCCCCATCAAAAGTGTTTAGGAATGGACCAGACAATGTAAGTAGTGTGCTAAAAAGGCATAAAAATTTAAGCAACTAGATTTGAGAATAAAAGGCAATAATTTTTATATATATATATATATATATATATATATATATATGTGTGTGTGTGTATGCATATGAGAGAGAGAGGGTGCAATGGATAAATTGGCACCAGTTTATATTTTTAATTTTGCACTTGCACGTTGTTTTTGTTGACTGAACATTATAGTAGGGTCAGTTATACACCATCTGTGAGAAAAAGAGCACCATGACACAATTCACTGCCAGAAATTTGGAAACAATATGCTGTACTGCTTGGCATTTGCACCAGGAACTGTTTGGACATCAATCTGAGGACAGTGCAGAGGATTCAGAAAAAGTTGGGCGAGTCCAATGATGATTTCAAAAGGTACGTCAACTAGGAAAACTCACTGATTGTTCTGATGAGAAAAGAACTCCCAAATTTGCTGGTGAGGGCCTCAGACTCAGGATAGAGACCTACTTGAGGAGGTAGTGCTGCCCTCATTCAAGAGGGTTGCTACTGGAAGACCCTACATTTGGCAACAGGACACTGCACCATGCTACACAAGCAGGAGAACTCAGTCATGGCTGTCAAAATTTCTGCAACCACATCATCCCTTACATTTGGCCACCTAACTCCCCAAAATGCCCCCCTCCCAATTATTATGCATGTGACAGTTGAGAAAGAGACCAACAAAACACATTGTAACAGCCAAGATGAACTGAAGGAGATTGTCCAGAAAAGTTGCAGGAGATTCCGTAGCTGTCTGGAAGGCCATAGTTGAAGCCAATAGCGATTTCATTGAATAAATTTAATCTTTAGTATATATATATATATATATATATATATATATATATATATATATATATATATATATATGATAGACAGGAAATGTAAACACTTAAAATATTGCTAGTTATTAGGCTAAAAATAAAAATTTAATCTGGCAAATAGCTCGAATTCCAAATAAAAAGGTGTTTATATGAAATTTTTACTAATATAATTTTGAATAGCCTTCTCCCTGCACATATTTTTCTTTGACAAGATGCCTTTATTAGCATGCTACAGCTATTAAAGTTAGGCATTCTAGTGGCATCACATATCTTAGTGTACTTGAAGAGATCATCATTGTCATGTCACCTTCTCTCACACAAACTGAAAGGTTTAACATGGTGCCCTGATCAACAAAAAGAACAAAAAAAAAAAAAAAAAAAAGATTAATCAGAAACCCTTTTTTAAAAGATGATTTACAATAAAGATATCAGAACTTTAATTTCCAATCCCAAATTCCATTAACTAGTTTTTGAACCTGAAGGAAGTGGGGATAAGAAAAAGAAGACACTTTAGTCTTCTGCACCTCTCTTCTATTTGGATCAACAAATTTTATACTTAAAACATTGAAAAAGTATTGTTAGTCTTAAATATATCTGAGAGATAACTTTTTTTGGTGGAGATCTGTGTGAAAAATAAAGTATCAAAAATACATTAAATGCTAAAACCATTTACTCTTTTTGCAATGGACTTTAGTCCAAGTTTTTAAAGAAAAACAAAACTTACGCATAACGTCTGTTATAGTTGACTTTTCCTCTTATGAAATGGAAGATTTGCTAGAAAAGAAGAAAATAAAAATAATTACATTTGAAAAATGTCATGTTGAAATCCTAAGTGATTAATTGACTATTATCACTTAGTAAAAAAAGTGATTAACCTATTCAGAATAGGTTAAGATAGTTTTTAAAAAAAAGTATAACAGTTATAATGATGTGCTTCTGTTACCATTTCCAAATTCAGGTGTGACCAGGGAGAAAACTCATTTAGGAAGGAACAAGTATTGTGCTTCAACTGAATATCAAATTTATGGATATTGTATTAATATTTACAAACTTTGTAGCAATAATTTAACAGGTGAATATAATTTTTTTGTAATTGTTCACTTCAACTGCTTAAACTCTTAAGTTCAAGTTATGAGAAAAAGAGCATGCATACACACACAAAATGCTAATTTAGCAAGGTTAAAAATCATCAAAATCCAACCGATAGAAACGGAAATAAGTTCTTATATACTACAAATATCAGTTAAAATATGCTAATTCCTCTAAATGTACAGTTTACAAACTATCAGACCTAACAGTAAAAAAAAAAAAAAAAAGCTTCAACTCTCTTCAGCAAAATCATAAACATTTCAAGAATATCCCTATTTGACTTTTATTCAAATAAAACATTAGAAGCTAAACAGCTACAAGAATGATCCACAAAACTTAATTTTTCTGTTGACTAAAGTGCAAAAAACTTTTTGGAGGGAGGAGGGGGAACTGATTTGTTAATTTTTTTTTTTTTTAAATGGCTTACTGGTAAAATTTTATTCTTAAATTTTCTAATATGAGTTGTCTGAATGTTGGAATTTTACACAAGTTTTAATTCAAAATCTAAATATATTTCAGAAAGAGCATTATATGCTCAATTGATTGTGTCAGCAATATAAAGATTTTGCCAATAATGTTTATAGTTGGGCCAATATAAGTTAAAGAACAATATGGACTTTCAGGTTTATTTTTCAGATTGTTGTCCAAACAGAAATCAGAAGAACATATGCAATGTTTTATTGGTATCACTTTCATTTTCTTAGGAAGGCAGCTGTGTAGAAACTGGTACAGGTATTTCATCTGAATAGAGCACTGGGTGACTTGTCGAATTCAAATTTGGGTAACTGAGTTTCTACCAAGTTTTCTTATTATAACCAGAAATCTTTTGAGAGGCAAAACTCAGTTGTATGTTTTCTCTCTCTCTCGTCATATCATTGGAATGCCAAATGCTAGTCTGTCTCCAGTTCTTTGTCCACAAGTGTAAATGGTCAACACAGTTTGCTCACTATGTGGAGGCACACACTTTATCCTGATCACCAAGCATACTCTCTTCACAGAATCACTAACGTTCATCCTCATTTTTACATTTGTACATGCCAAAGAAGGTGGACATACAAAAGTAGTAGTATTAAATTTAGTAAGATATGGGCACAAATGTATTATGTGGATTTGAAAAGAGGATATACAAAATATCTTGTGGAATATCTCCCATAATTGTTATATACCCCTAGATTTTCCAGATCCCTTTGGGAATCAATACCATAAACCAACCACCAGTAAAATGAAAAAAAAAAAAAAAAAAAAAAAAAAATTCATATCAAAACTAGTCCTGATGAAGTTCTTAATGTTGAATAAAACAAATCAGAAAGTGAAAGACAAATTTTGAAAGTTCATTAATGACTGAGATGAATATGGGAAGACTTTAGGTCAGTTGTAAAAATCGTTTTGGGGAAATACAAATAGTGAAAATTATGAACATCAGATTGAAACAGTGCTTGAAGGTTTTCGCTTTTTTGAGAAGCAATAAGTCCATTCAAAAAAAAAGAGTCATTCCTTTCAATGTCTTGGATTTTCTGCTGACCTAGGAGACAAGTAAAGGGAATGATAAACACTTTCAAAATATTAAGGTTATGGAGGATGTGTGACACTCAGTTGCTGACAGATTACTGATGGAATAATCAAAGACTGTCCAGACATGAAGCACTCCAGTAGTTCCAAAAAGAAAAGTTTGTTTCATAAATAATGTAAATATGTGTTTTTTTTTTTTTTTTAAATAGATTGAAAATTACTTAGATGCATCTTAGATATGTCAAGTGTCAGAATTGGTTGTCATGATTTGGTAAATTACCTGCATCAGGTGGTTTACACCATGCATTACAAAATACAGATATGACAGAGTAAACACTTATCACAGTGCAAAAATTGATTTTTTTTTTTTTAATCAGTGTATTATCAAAAGAACAACTTAAGTCACTGAAAAAGCATTTTCCAGTGTCAAAACTACATAAATATCAGTAAGAATCAAGTAAAATAAAAACATGTCCTTGCATTTGTCAGTTTCCTTGTTTATTTAATGTAAAAACAATAGTTATGAAAATAAAACAAAATAAACCAACAAATTCATAAAATGCAAATCCTTTTTTCTCTAAAAAGGACTGTAGAGTATTTCTATTCATTATGAATAAAAAAAAAAAAAGATTTGATCACGTAATCTTAATGTATTTATTGATTGATTGATTTCCTACAGTTTATCAACCCCTTTTCAAGTTATTAAAACCAGAAAATATTTTTAGATTCAAAGAATTTTCTGGAAATAATAGTTTATTGATAAGTTTTACTAATTAACCCATAGCTGGCATAGAATATGTAAATTCATACCTTCCCAAGGGCATTTGGGTGTAAGGGAATATAACGAACCCAATTGGAATTTTGTTCTCTGATTAACAATGCCAAGCCATTATCCATTACCACACCCAAACATCCAAGTTTACAGTATCTGGTGATCAGACAGGAACTGGTGTTTCAATGTGATGTGGATGTAAGCCTTAATGCCCTGGGTCAAAACAAAAGTATGTCAATTTTTTTAAGTAAACTTCTAAGACAACAATTAGATATTTGCACATAAATTTCAGTCACATATCTGCCATTTATTCCACTACCCTTAATCATCGTTGATTCTCAGGTCTTAGCATCTTTCATGGTGATAAACTGTTATATGTGGTTTACAGGCTTCTAAAGAATTTTACAGGGATCAGACTCAAAATAATTAAATCTCATCTACTGTCTAGTATGAAGGATCTTTTGCAGGATATTACAGTTCAATGCCAAATCTGGTCTGTTTGATTCTGCCATGGACAACATCCAAATGTCAATGTTGTCATTGTAACTCTGGCAGGTGTGGCTTTCAGATACATGATTTGTTCATTATGATTTAACATTCAGAGTATTGGAAAACCAATAAAAAAAAACAATCATTCAGAAAAGAAAACATCTTTTATAAAAAAAATTTTTTAGCACCTTTAAGTTACACCATATTTTAAAAATCTTTCATTATTTGAAAATATAACCTTGTTAGTCTTTAAAATAAAACAAGCAGCGAGACAATACTACAATTAGATTTCACTTTAATGAAATCTAGATAATAGTTTCCTTGCAAATTTGGGATTTCTGCAAACCAACAACCTCATTAATACTGAACAGATGACCAAAAACAGGTAAGCAATAACCAGGAAAACAATTTCTTCAAATCTAACATCATTCCTTAGGTTTACCTGAATATGAAAGAGCCACAGATTTATAAGTTTATCAGTATGTATTATAAAAGAAAAGAATTGATAAATGAAATATATTCTATCTGAATTTCTGTGACAAGCTACCATTATTTATATTCTAATTAATGCCCACATCCTTGTTACTATTACAACACTTTAACCATTGCATTTTCTGGCTTTCTTTAGGTTTGTGAAGATCCGGGAATCTGGAAAATTTAAAACTGCATCCTTTAATTAAAGTAAGAGAGACCCAACCGTGAAACATTTACCACTTAAGGATTATGCATTTAATAACAAGCAAATAATCATATGCTCACAGTAGAAAACCCATTGAGCCAGATACATAACAAACATTTTCTTAATGAGAAATAAGGTGTAATCCCTTTTGCAGCTAATGTTAGGTTCTATGGTCCTATCAACTCATCATAATGAATGATGATATCCACTGACATATTTCAAAATAATAACCAACACTTGCAAGGCTTTTGTATTTTAAGTAGATATCTATAATGTCAATTACTTGTAAATACTGAAAAAGTAACTGCTTCTCAATCAGTAGTATTTAAAAAAAAAAAAAAAAAATTAAAAATTTATCTACCTAGAGAATAAATTTTAGCAGCCTGATCTCCCCTTAGTAAGCTATTCCGTTATAGTAAAAAAAAAAAAAAAAAAAAATGAATCATACTTGTTGAGTTTAGTAAATCCTCATATTACTATAACAACGGAACATCTCGTTACCAAGAAATGGTGACGGAGCTATGTGAATGATAAACATTTAAAATCACAGTGTTTATTTTTTTTTATATTAAAGACGATTAAAATGTCACAGTGAGTCGATCGAGTGTTAATCATTGACGAGAATGGATCAATAAGTCTACGACCGGATTTAGACTAATTTGAAAATTTTACTAATGAATCAACGGGAGTAAAATAAAAATACATTGACAAGAAAATGATGAAAGCTATGTTGATTAATAATATTTATAATATACAAAATAAATATTTGTTATTTTTGTCATCATTAAGTTGCGGACTTATTGATGTCCCCACGAACACATGTCAATCCTTAAGTTTTTGTAAAACGGAAATATTTGAGAAATTGAAATCACTCCAGTCAAAATTTTTGACGAGCTAAGAGGCAGATTTAATAACTGGCTAGTTTTTTTTTTTTTTTTAGTATGATTGTTGATGAGCAATGAGTGCAGATAGGATATTTTAAGCAGAGGTTCATTTTATTTAAAGGTTCTAAATTAAAAAATGATAAAAAGGTAAAAAAACATTGAAGGTATGGGGAAAAAAACTCGAGGGTAAAGTAGGAATTTTACAAAAAACCTTTTGAGTAAATTACAAAAAGGCATTTTTTTTAAACAAACAAATGTAGAATTAAGAGTTTTTATTTTTAACTGAAAAAATTTGATTGTTAGTGAAAGTGAAAACAATTATCCAAATATTTTCAAGTTTCCCGTTTTAACGCTTTGAACCCGAGAGTTCGGTTATGTGAAAAGGGCATACTCGTCAGGGTTCAAAGGGTTAAAGTAGATTTTGAAGCTCATTTTAGTCGACAAATGACAAAATAAGAAATAATTTAAATTTCCTCAACTGACCCCTTTAAAAAAAAAAAAAAAAAAAAAAATCAGATCATAAAGTACACCACGAAAATTTTTTTTTATTCTAGTTCCATTTTTAGTTATCCAGTTTTAAACACGATTGATTCTTCAAAGAAATTCCCTTTTTAATGGAAAAAAAAAAGAAAATTAATCTTGAAAGTAAAAATAAAAAAAGCTTAGTCTTTTACGATTTATGAATTAATATTTAATATGTAAAATAAATAAAATTATCAGTGCAAGAAAACACGTGGTTGTAAACTGTAAAAAAGAATCTCTTCAAAAAATCTTATACCCATGAAAAAAAAAACGAAGGTCATTTCAACAGACACGCGGAAAATCTCTTATAAAAATAAATAAAAGAACAAGGAAAAAGAGTTAACTATGAATCAATATATGAAGCGAAGATTTTGTATTTTCAAAGATGATGAAATAAAATAATTAAAAAAAAAAACCAGAAAAAACAAGAGAGAGAATGATGTAATAAATTTATAAATTTTAACAGACATTTAACTTAAGTCTTCTGTAGAGATCCTCCCCCTCCTAAGGATACGGAGGATGTGCAGCACCATTTAAATGTCCAAAGGGATTTTCCTTTATTTTTATTTTTGTCAAAAACAAGTTCAAAATGAAAGAGTAATTTTTAAGAAATGAAAAATTCAATTAAAAGACAGAAAAATATCAGAATCTAGATTTTTGACCTGTGTCCAACGAACAGAAACGAGTCCTTATATAAGTTGAACTTTTGCGTTATAAAACACTTTTTATAATTTTTAACAACTGTCAATAATTTAAGATCCTTATTACGTTTTATTTATTTACCTTAAAGACAGAATCAGGAACACATTTATTAGGCAAAGAATTGGTAATTATAAAATCTTAAATCAATAAAGAAAAGACGTAAAAATGAATTTGCGCATTTAGTTACACATGCTTTCGGCCAGTAAGGAATCGGCGACAAAAAATTATACTACTTTATGTAAGAATATAGATAAAAAGGAATAAAATTTATTAGTTATATAGTTATTAAGTTATATATCTTCTCTTCCGTAATCTGTACGTATGTGTTAAAGAGGGAAAAAAAACAATTATTTTTTTTTTAATTAAGTTTTCTATCTTTTTCTTCGGGCTTGCGGCAAAATTAATCAGCACTATAGGTTATAGAAAGAAAAACACAAGGGGAAAGTATTACAGCAAAGGAAATCGAAGGAGGAGATAATTAAATAAAGAGAAGAAAATGTACTTTTTAGAGAGAAAACTCCCAAAGTGCCCCAAGATTGCTTTTCTAGTTCGATAATGAATAAATCAACAAGATGGCCGGCCCACTCTAATTTTCACGTGTTTCGGTAACATAATAATACTTAGTGATAAAACGATAAATAAAGACACTTACAGTTCTTGAAAGAGTGGAAATTTCCCTATAGCTGGTTATTTTCTTCTTCAGACATGAGATAAATATACTTCTTGTTCCTAGCATGTTGGAAAGCTAGAGATCTTAGTAAGACAGCAGCTCGACAAATCCGACTACACACGTGTGATGGCTGCTTGAAAGGAAGACACAGCGCATGCGCAAAGATAGTATCCGGAATGTTCTGGACCCTTTCGATCTGTACGCCTACATTGAAACCTTCTGTTTTTTTTTTGAGAGAGGAACTTCTTTAAAAAATAATTGGTGACACTTCTTGTCTTCCCATAATTAATTTAAACCTTTATATGTAATTTAAAAAATTACCATCTTTAAATAGCTTTATATCGCCACTACTGGATCTGAGCTTACATAAGCATTTTTTTGACCTCTGTCTTTTTAACCTCTGCCGAAGGTCAGCACATCAACTGAACTTCAATACAAATAAAATAAATATCGGAAAAAACATTCGAAAAATCCATGAATAAATAAAAATACGTTAACATGTTTTATTCTATTATAATTTGCGTACGTTTACTGGTTAATAAGTATAATAAAAATGCATGTGATATATAGTCGTACTTTTTCTTGTCTTCCTGTTGCGCAGACGAATAATAATTACAAAACATGACATAATCATTATAAGTTACAAGTACTTTTCATTCACATTTTGTAGTAAAGTTTATATTTTCATGTTCTCTTAGGTATTCAAACTAGAGACACCGTTGTTACTGTGAAGTTATGAAATTCAAAGATAAAAATTCATACATTGTTCCATACGTACATAAAAATACGAATACAATTTCTAAAAAATAGCTTTATATTTACAATAAAACTGAAAAATGTATAAAAATAGTCCTTACTGATAAATGATTTTTTTTCTTAAATAGTTAGCACATTAATTATACCAGAAGTTATTTTTAAAAATAATTTTGGACTGATTTTATTTTTATTTTTATTTTTTTTTTTGTCTAGCTAAAGTTCACCAAATTCTCAGGCCCAAGAGCCACTCAAGGTTATGAAAAATAAGATATTATATGATTATCTGTCCTTGGCAGTTTAAGGTCAGCCAATCAGCTCACAGCTGCTGATTGGCACACTTTTCTACCTTTTTTTGAACAACTCCCTACTCTTGGTATAACTTTTAGAATGACCACATGCTGAACGGGTTACTTCTACACACTTATCACTCCAGAGTCCATAGATGACAAGAAAATCAACCCACCCTCAGCAGATAAGTGTGGTCACAGACCTCATTAAGTTTGCAAGGACCCATTTGTAATGTTGATTAATTTGTACAAATTATACGTCAATTGTGTTCTAATCTTTTATTATTACTGTGTCTGCATCCATCATGTGGGAATCTTATATGGGGCCCACTCCAATTCCCCATAAGGTAGACAGTTACTGAATGAAATGTGTTATAATGACTGTAAGAGTAGGAACTAGGAGGTCAAGATTAATAACAATTAATCATAGGCACTAAAAGGTTAAGATTGTATTGTTTTTGCAAGCATTCATGTGCGGAATCAGTTCCACAAAGTAACTGTTCTTGGGAAGAAGCTTTCTGAGTTGAACATACTTTTTATCAAATAAATATATAGGCAATGAGGGTGATTCAACCCTGTGGATGTAGCAATGTGAGACTTGACTTTGTAAGAATGCAAAAGGCGATTATCTCCCTTTAATTGGGATTCATGTTAAAGCCACTGAGTGACATCAATTCATAGTGACAAAAGTGGTCAGTTATTTAGTTAGCTGGCTGAAGTCAAGTAGGGCAAGGCTAAGCTGATCTGCCTGGGTCAGTTGCAATGGGGTAGCACTAAAGCCCCTTGGGAAATATGTCCTCACCAGAGACATAGAAAATAAACTCAGGCCTTGCAAATTAGAGAAATTATCTCTACCTCACATTGAGAAATACATATGAATCACCATTCTCCTATTGGGAAATATAGTCTCACCAGAGGCATAGAAGATAAATCTGGCCAACTTGAATTCCCATTGGGAAATATAAATATGGCCTTACCAGTTTTCCCATTTGGAAAAATATAACTTCTTCAGAAACATGGAAGACTCCTCCAGCTGCTCGAATTCCTGTTGAGAATTGTTAGAAGTAAGACCCTATGTCTCTTTACATTTTCCCACTGCTCGTTGTTGTAAACATATGTTATAGTTTCTCTGTGTGGGGAAAAGTATAAAAATTTATATATAATTTTATGTATGCATTAGCACTATAAAAATTTCTTTGAGAACAAATCATGTTTGTCATTCCTTTTCTTTCTGTTAGCCTGTTCATTACATGTATTAATGTGTTACTATATCATGGATATAATCATGCCCATAATGGAGTAAATGCAAATAGGATATATTCATTTCTTGCATAGCAGTCCCATTAGCTGCAATAGTCTGAGTTGATGGCACTAAAGACTGGAGGGTAATGTTTAATCATCGTGACTGCAAGAAAATGTTTTTTCTGTTGACACTGCTATTACTTTAAATGATCGAGACTAACACAGTAATGTTTATTTACATGATTATAAAAATATGTAAACCAGGTACAATATAATATTTATTATCTACCATTCTATAAAGATTTATTATTTATCATTTTATAAAGAAATGAATTGGAAAAGAAATCTTTTTATTGAAAAATTTATAAAAACATACAAAATTTTCACTGCTTTGTGTTCTTTTGAATAGTTGGCAAAACATCGGCAAATTGCCAGTTGATTCAAATTTTTTAAATTAGTAAATAAATATTTAATCACAGTTGGTTCACATATTTTTATGATTTAGTAAATTTTTATAAATCTATGAATAAAAAATTGTTTTCATATTTCTTTCTTTCTTAGGTGTTATTTTACTGCAGTGACAACAAATAGTATCACAGTAGTGTAGAAAATAAATCATCCTTTGCAAGGCTGTGGAACACTTTTGAACTCTGTAAAGACTAGAAAAAGAAGATTGGGAAACTACATCCCAGATATTATGGCAATGCCATGATTTTTAGTCTGATCTAGTTTACATGAAGTTAGAGCATGGTAGAAGGAGTCAGGTACTTTCTGGAGTGGTACAATCATTTTTCCAGTATCTTTAGTGATTGATCATATATATCAGTTCCACTTAAATAAGGGAGTAATTTTACTCCCAGTAGATGTTCTTAATCTTTAGTATGCTGGAGGCATGCAATAGGAGAGAATTCTATGGTGACAATTTTCACCTCCAGCATTAGGTTAACCATTAGACATTATTTAAAAAAAAAAATTTGAACAAATAATGAAAAATGTTTTTATGTATTAATAACTCTGGAAGAAGAACGTTGTGAGTTGGCTTAATTACAACAAACAATAAAATAAACAACAACTAAACCAACAAACTTAGACAAAAACTCAAAACCCTATGCACTAATAGTTGATATATGTTAGAAAGACCAGATCTAATAGAGGATCTATTGGATATAAAACTATCCAATACCAAACTGGAAGCCCTCAGCTTCAGTTTAAAATTTACTACCAGGATTTGTAAAGGAGATCTTGTTGACACAATAGTTAAAAATTATAAACAAAATGACATAGAATTCACCAAAGTTTTCATTCAAGGAATAATTACTGCCAATATAGAAACTAACAAAGAAAGAACTTTACCATAGAGACACTTAAATGCACTAGACAGACAGCACTCTCCACAAACTGGCAAAAGCCATAACAAAAATTTTAACCCCACTCTTTGGAACATTTGTCTCATCACATATAAAAAAAAAATTCAGGCAATCTAGTTGAAAAACTAAGGGTAACAAATATGACCAACAAACTCATGGCCTGTGTAGATATAAAATCCCTTTACACCAACATCCTTATTGAAAAAGGCTTCTTTTTTTTTTTAAAGCATTTAACACAATCAAGGATAAACCTTTCTCTATCAACAGCTAATATAATAAAAATCTGCCATCTCATCACCAATCAATACTATTTCACATTTAATAATTTTTATAAGCAAAAATTTGGATTATCAAGGGATTGCCTCTTAGTGGTGTGATGGCATTGTTGTGGGATTCTAGTATGTTTGGGTGAAAATAAACCACCACTTTGTTGTGAGATTTTACACTGTTGCTCTGAGTGTGTGGATGTTTTATAGTAAATATACAACATAATGGGGATCAACAGATGTGTTATCTTCTCTTGGATACAAATCAACAATTCACCCTTGCATGCAGTATTGCTGCCATATATGTTCTGGAGCCCCTTCTGTTTGCCTTGGGGTTCTTGATAGGCTCCAGAGGTGGATATGTAATATAATTGGCCCTGTTTTGGCATCTCGTCTACAGTCACTCTTTCACAGATGCGCTGTCGCCTCTCTCTGTCTTTTTTACAAATACTTTCATGGCAATTGCTCCGAGGAGTTGCATTCGCTGGTTCCCAGACTTAATGAGTTCTAGCGCCCTACGAGGCTGGCATCCTGCTCTCAACCTTTCACTGTCAAAACTACTAAATGTAGCTGTCTCTTCTACTCCAATAGCTTCATGTCTTGCACCTCTCGCCTGTGGAACTCCCTTCTCTATTCCAGTTTCCCTGAGAGCTATAATCTCCAACTATTCAAATGTAATGTCAATCATTATCTCCAGTTGCCTTGATCTATCTACTATCCTTCTCCTCATCCTTTCCTCTATCACTCCTATCTGATCTTGCTCCAAATCTTTTGTAACCCCTTGCGTCCTAGTGACTTCTCGCCTTGCTTGGGGTGAAACGCTTAAAAAAAGAAAATTATAACAATTAAAATTATCATTAATTCAGTTTTTCTAAACCAATGAGAACCAACCCCAATTTTCTCCTCTACACACACAAATATGTTATTTTCTCGCTATCAGACAGGCAGTCAAAATGGACAGTCCATCAAGATGTGCGTCAACAAAAAGTTTTGGATCATTTTCCTTTTTCAGGCCATAATACAGGATCTGATGAATAAATTGTTTTCTAAATTATGCAAAAATGAAAATAACACAGACATCTTATTTTTAACAGATATATTTACCAAAATTACACAAAAATATCTTGAAATAGTAAAGAGTAAATTTATTCAATAAAATTGCCATTGGTTTCAACCACGGCGTCCAGATGACTATGGAATCTCTTTATCTCTTCTGGACAGTCTCCTTCTTTAAGTTGGTGAATACTGCCATAATCTTTGCTTTCAGTTCATCTTTGGTGTTAAAAGGAGTTTTGTTGGTTTCTTACCCAACTGTACCCTTCTAACAGCCATCCCCTTGAATCAGCACTACCCCCTCAAGGCACTTGATGTAGGACTCTGTGTTGAGTCTGAGACCCTCGCCAACAAATCTGGGAGTTCTTTTCCCATCAGAACAATCAGAATGAGTTTTCTGAGCTGCCATCCCTTCGTAATCACCATTAGACTCATCCATTTATTTCTGAATCCTCTGCACTGTCATCAAATTGACATCCAAACACAGCATGCCATTTCCAAATTTCTGGTGGAGTGAATTGTGTCATGATGCTCTTTTTCTCACAGATGGTGCCCAACTGACCCCACTATACTCTGCAGTCAACAAAATCAAAAACAAACAACATATATACATGAAATTAAAAATATAAAATGGTGAAAATTTTCCTATTGCAAATAGTAATATTTATCTCTTAACACTTGACAAAAGTTTGAGGTAAAAAAAAGTCCAGACACTTCTTGTATTTTCTAACTAAATTACCTTGACACTCATTACACACATCTATAAAAAAAAAAAAGCATACAAAAAACTATACACTTTACTTATTCTTTATCTTATTAATCTATCAAATTTTGTTCTATATTTGATCTACCAAACTCACAATTTTACTTTGTGTTACTGTCTCTCATGTCTCCAACGCCACATACCAACCAGATGATAAATAATACACATTTAGCTGTTTCCACGTCTTGCTGTTTCTCATTTTTATGAGTATTTTGTATATATAGATGCAAGGAGATTTATAATTATTTACTCAGTTATAATTCCTTTACAGCATGTATTTTCTTAGAATTTCTTGTATCTGGTCCTTTCCAAAATATTTTACCTAAATAATCAACATACTTCTGATATATTAATGATTCTCTATTAATATATCCCCGTGATACTGACTTACCTGATCTTGTAGATAAACTAAAGTTGAACATACAATAGAATTTACATGTGAAATGGGAGAAAACAATGTTTTAGCTTTCCTAGATATCATGCTACTGTTGACAGTAACTTAAAACTTAGTGTCCACCAAAAATCAACTAATAAAAATGATCTAATAAATTCTATTCCCATCATAACAACAAAATAAAATCTAGAATAATCATGAAATTCTACTTAAGAGCACTCAGAATTTGCAGCCCTTAATATTTACGTAAAGAGGAAAAATGCATTGAAAATACTTTCATGCTCCTCCAATTCTCTTTTATATTCAATGCAAAACAAAAGACTCATAAAATATTCCAAAAAAGAAAAGCATCCGTTCCTGACAAACCCAACAAATCAAAAAATATATTGTCCTACTCACTAACTCTATCACAACAACAACTGAAAAGAATTTATCTAAACTCAACATAAATTAAGAGAATATTTCTAGCTCTAATCTTTAAGATTTAGTTAAGTATAAGTCATTAGACTAAGTATAGAGAGTAATTCTTGACTGCATACTATTAGATTGGCAACTAGGCCCTACTGTTTTATTGTGGAATTAGCTAGATGCAGCCATCTGTTCTATTCTAAAAGCTACTTTTCTCGCACTTTTCACATGTGGAAGTCTTTTCCAATTTCCTGCTTCTCTGCCACATACGATTTTCAGAAATTTAAATGCAATGTCTGCTGCCATCTTCTCTCTTCTTGAAGCTTGTTCTTTTATTATTCTGGTTTACGACCATATCATGAGGAAACACTTGTTTCCGTCTGATCACTGAAGTTAAGCAACATCAAGCCTGGTCAATACCTAGATGGGTAACTGATGGGAATGCCAGGTGCTGTAAGCTTGTGTGTGCAGGTGGTATAATGGATAATGGCTCGGAATTGGAAATCAGAGAGCTGAGTTTCATTTCCAGTTGGGTTCGTTATATTTACTTAAGCACAAATATCCTCATCAAAGTTGGTTAGGAAGCAAAAAGCCAGAAAAGAGTTCTACAAACAAGAAGTGTGAAGAAATAACACATGTCATAGAACCAACTAGTCAATATACCTATAACATTGATTACATTTATTGTATTTTGTCTGTCCCAAGCAAGGCAATAAAGCCACTAAGATGCAAAGGGTTAAAGAATATGAGATAAAGAAAAAACATTATTAAGGAGAGAAAGAAAAATAAAGGAACAGAGATCAAGATGACATAAGATAACAATTGACAGCTGACTGGAAACACAAAAGTCCAGGAGAGAGTTCCACAAGTAAGAAGTGCAAGAGAAGAACGTGTTAGCATAGAACTTATGGTTACATCAAGACATTTTAATTGTAAAATGAGGAGATCTAACAGCCAATCTAGTACTGCGCTTCAATTTGTAAAGTTGAGGCACCAAAGAGGAAAGCTCATCATACCATGAAAATATTTACAGAAAAGGCACAAGAAAGCTACATGACAGTAGAGTGACAAAGTAACTGAAGTCACAATGCCAGGTCAGGACTGATAAAATTGCAGATTCTTCTTTAGATTTTATCAAGAATCTTTAAATACACAGCAGAAGCAACTGATTCAATATAATCTTTCCACTTCATGTCAGTGGAAAATGTTAGCCTGAGAAGGCACAAGGAGACACTCTCCTGGAGGTTAGCATCAGTCATGCTGATGGAAGGCAGGGAAGGTTCTCTATGACAATTGAAAGACAGTAATTTTATTTTGAAGGCATTAAAATTAACAAGCCATTTCTTGCCCCAGTTAACAAATTGTAGGTCATTTTTTAGATCAGCTGCAAATTTGACCTTATTGAACAGATTAGATTTACCATAAAGACAGGAGTACATAGTTCTGTCATCAGTATCAATCACATCATTAATTAAATTCATTATTTCTACCCTATTTTCAGCATTAATTAATTCCACTCTGCCTGTCATATATGTTATACTCTTCTTTAAAGTAGATCTCTTTCTGATGCAGTTGATATTGAAACCTGTTACCCAGATGTAAAATACTATGAAAACAAAATAAAACAAAATCCTTCTCTGTGCAGGGATACCAAGCATCACATTCAGCTAATAAAACAAATCCCTACAAAATATAAGATACAATTTAAATGTCAGAACCAATCATGAATATTAATACTAAAGCAAAAAGTGTAACAAAAACTGCTGAGTTATGTATCCCCCTTGACTGCATAAAAGGACTTGCTTGTGACATTTAATGCAATAGGCAGGCAATCACAGAATTCACCAGTTTTACCAGGTCAACGAACCCAACACAAACTCCAATGCCAGACCCGTACATAACTAACTCTCACATCTTTCAGGTTGCTTGCCTCTTCCACAAAATGATATTCTGACTTGATCCTTTATACCAGCAATACAGAGAGCTTTATTTTAACATTTAATTTTAATTAGTTAGTTTTAACGTATCAAAATGAAATTATCTGAGCGAACCCTTTTTACCTTTCATCAGCATGGCTGATGCTAACCTCCAAAAGAGTGACTCATTTTGCTTCTCTGAATAATGTTTTCAGCTGATATAAATTAGAAAGATTATATTGAATCAATTGCTAAGTCTGCAGTTAAGAAAGTTGGTTCACTACTTCATGCTAGATACTTTTTCCCGACAGGATATATCTTACATATTTATAATTTTACCAGTCCTCCTTGCTTTGAATATTGCTGCCACATCTGGTCTGGTGCTCTTTGTATATATTTAGAGATTCTTGATAAAATCCAAAGAAGAATCTGCAGTTTTATTGGCCCTGACCTGGCATCTTGGTTTCATTCACTTCCCACTGCCATAACATGGTTTCCCTGTGCTTTTTCTATAAATACTTTCATGGTAATTGTTTGGATGAAATTTCCACTATGGTATCTAGATTTTATGAATTTTAGTGCCATACTGGATGGGTGGAAAGGTCTCATCATTTTACAGTTGAAATAGCTAGATGTAGCTGTAAGTTCTATGCTAACAGTTTCTTCTATAGCACTTCTTGCTTGTGGAACTCTTTCAACTACTTGCTTCCCAGTCAACGTTGATCTTCAAAAACTTAAATGCAATATGTCAATTGTTATCTCCTGTCTTCTTAATTTATGATCTTTTATTATCCTCTCACATTAACAGTAGCTTTCATCATATTCTCTAACACTCAGTCGCCCCTTGTATACTGGTGGAAGTTATAAAAAACCTGTTGAATATATCTCTACACTTAAACAACAAACATGCAAACTTACACACATGTATTTTTCAAGGATCCTAAAACTAAAAGTGTAAAACTAAGTCAACTTTTTGAGCATTTGACAATCGCATAAAACATCTTGAACTGTGATTGTAACTTAGTATTTAAATATCAGATAAGTGCAGTACTAGATTATCAGTAAGCTCTCATCATTTTACAGTTGAAATAGCTAGATGTAACCGTAAGTTTTATGTTAACAGTTTCTTCTATCACACTTCTCGCTTGTGGAACTCTCTTTTGACTTCTTACTTTCCAGTCAACTTTGATCTTAAAAAAATTTAAATGCAATGTTAATCATTAATTCTTCTTAATTCTTGTTCTTTTATTGTCCTCTCTCCTTAATAGTAGTTTTTTCTCATATTCTCTAACACTCAGTAACCCCATGCATTCTAATGGCTTTATTGCCTTTGATCTTCAAAAATTTAAATGCAATGTCAGTCGTTATATTCTGTCTTCTTAAGTTTCGTTCTTTTGTTGTCCTCTCTCATTAATAGTAGTATATGTGGTATATAACATGTATAATGCATTATTTATATCCACTATATTGATAAATTTTTAAGTTTCGTTGTGTAACAGTTGTTGGTGTGGAAAGTAAAATCAGTTTGGTGTGTTCAAATTCCCACCTCATGTGACACTTTATAGCTTTAGATAAGAATGATGAAGCTTGGGCTGTTGTTTTGGACATCTCAAAAGCCTTTGACAGGTTTGGCATACAGATCTTCTTCCCAAGTTGAAAAGTTATGGTGTCTCCATACAAATTTTTGAACTGATTCACTCTTTCTTATCACATTGGGAAATCAAAGTTATCCTGAATGGCCACTCTTCTTAATCATTTGTACTAATGCAAATGTCCCCACCCCCAGAGCTCTATCCTTGGTCCTACATTGCTATTAATTTTCATTTTTGCTTTTCCTGATAGAATCAGCTCTCAACTTGGCATCTACACTGACGACACAACCATTTACTCTAGTCGCCATAGTCAGTCTGATCAGTTCAATAAGGTCAAATTAGCAGCTGAGGTCAAAAATGACCTTCAATCTGTTGTTAACTGGGGTAAAGAATAGTTTATTAACCTCAATATCTCTAAAACAAAATTGCTCTCTATTATTCCTCTGAGAGACCCCTCTTTGCCTTTCACTAGCTTGGCTGGTGCTAACCTCCAGGAGAGTGACTCATTGCACTTTTTGGGGGGCTAATATTCTTGGCTGGCTTGATGTTGAAAGACTATATTTAATCCATTACTAGGTCAGGTGCAAAGAAATTTGGTTCACTGTGTCATGCTAGACAATTTTTTTCTCCAGAATCTATCTTACATATCTATAAGTTTACCATTCATCCATGCTTAGAATATTGCTGCTACTTATTGTCTAGTGCTCCTGCTATATATTTAGAGATTTTGATAAAATCCAAAGAAGAATCAGTAATATTATTGGTCCTGATCTGGCATCTCAGCTTCAATCACTTTCCCACTGCCATAAAATTGCTTCCCTCTGCCTTTTCTATAAATACTTTCATGTTTGAATGAGCTCTTCAATATGGAACTTTGAATTTATGAATTTAAGCATAGTTCTAGACTGGTAACAAGGTCTCATTAATTCATAGTTGAATTGGCTAAATGTAACCGTAAGTTCTATACTAACAGTTTCTTTTCTTGCACTTCTCACTTGTGAAACTCTCTTTCGGCTCTATGCTTTCCAGCCAACTTTGATCTTCAAAAATTTAAATGCAACGTCAATCATTATATACAGTCTTCCTGATTACTCTTCTGTTGTTCTTACTCCTTAGTAATATTTCTGCTTTCTCATTCTTCCACATTGAGTAACCCCTTGTGTCTTAGTGGCTTTACTGCCTTGTTTGGGGTGATTGCAATTAAAAAAATGGTGTGATTGGGTCAACAATATAGAATATGGTGTTAAACGATTCTGTATCAGTCTTAAGTGGTGTTGCATATTTTTTATGACAAGCAGTAGAGCCTGCAAAGTGGGTTTTTCATGCAATTGCCCAAAAGGTAATAAAACAATAAAAAATTGATGAAATGTTTAGGGTCAAGTGCTACTTAGACGGAAGTTACAAATTTCAATTCACAGGCTTGTATAAACAATCACAGTTGAGATTAAAAGTAGTTCTGGACAGCCTGATATTGAGTTAATGCTGTCTATTGAGAGTGTGTTAAGAAGTCACACATCATAATGTAAAGATCAGCAAAGGAGTACTAGAAACTTTTCTTGGTTGAAGGGAAAAGCTGATCTGTTAGACTGACAAAAGTAATTTTATTCTCTATATCTACCATATACACAGGATTGATTACAAAACATTTTTATCTTTAATCAGTACAGCAGTAACTGTATATACTCAAGCTACACTGATTAAATTTAAAATATCTCTAATAATTACATTACTTACATTAACTTATAGCATTTATCATAATCATTATATCTCTTGTATTCAGGGCATTAATCCCATTTGCTCTATTATAGTAATTACAGGATTAATTACATACATTAAATCTTTAATAATTACAGCTTTAATTACATAAAAATTATCTGTCATATTTATAGTATTAATTGTTGCTTGATTTATTGGTTGATTTTATGATATATCATCCCTTGTTGGATTATT